TATATATATATATATATATATTAAAGTTAACCTTATTACTTTTACTATAAGAACAATATAAATCCATCTCTAGTAAAGGAATTAAGCTTAGCTTAGTTGGCAATATGCTTTTGCTTTTCTCGAGATGTCGCACAAATTTTTTTTCTCCTGAGCTTGACGGGCTGAAGCTTTAAAGGAGGAAGAAAATGGGAGGGCCGCCCGAAGCTCAAGAGATATGCCCGAAAGCAGAAGGCACAGACGGGTTGGGCCCAAATGGAGATGGCGCCAACGACGAGAATCTGAGCCGCGAAAATCGAACAGAGGGTAGGAATCCGAACAACTAGTTTTGGAAGCCAAAAGAGGCATTTAAGTATATTTTAATAGCTAAAGAAGTTTTTTTTTTCAAGTTGGGGAATGTGGAAGGTCAAATGTTAGAATGTAAAAAGACTAAAGAATTTAAATGAATTTCAATATGAATATATTAAATAATTTTAATAAATTTAGAAGGTCAAAAGCCAAAAGTTGGAAAGTGAAATGTCAAAAGTAGGAATGTGAAAGGTCAAAGGACAAAATAATTTTTGTTATGCCTCATCTCAAGTTTATAAATAGAGGTCATAGATGAGGGGAAGAATCACCAGTGAAGAGAAGGAGAAGAAGAAAGAGAGAAAAAGAGCGGAGAAGAGACTTCCCCTAGCGAGATTCTCCCAATGAATAGAGTCATACTACATTGCGGTGAAAAGTTGCGGCTGAGAGTTGCAGTAAAAAGGTAAGTTGCCGCGCCCTGCGTAGCATACAAGCAATGTGATTTTCTTTTGTGGTGCAGCGAAGAGGAAAGTCGTTTCGGTCCTGCGTAGTAGGTAAACAACTAGATATTCTTTCACGTTGCGACAAAGAGGAAAGTCATCACCGTCTTGCATGACAGACAAACAACGAGATCTTCTTTCATGTTGTGGTGAAGAGTAAAGTTGTCTTCATCCTGTGTTACAAGAAAACAACGATATCCTTTTTCATGTCGCAACAAGAAGAAAAGTCGTCTCCGTTCTGCGTAGTAGACAAACAACTTGATCTTTTTTCACAAGGAAAGTCGTCCTCGTTTTGCGTAATAGACAAACAACGAGATCATATTTCAAATTGCGGCAACGTAGAAAGTAGTTTCCGTCTTGCATTGCAGATAAACAACAATATCTACTTTCACGTTGCGGCGAAGACGAAAGTTGTCCCCGTCTTGCATAACGCCCCAAACACTCTTTAGATGAGAAGAGTTGGAACCCATCCGAAGGTGTTCTCTATAAGATATGGAGGTAATCATATCACGTTCTCCATTTTAGTCTCATTAAACCACATTATTTCAATTATAAATTTTTATAAATTTACTAAAAGTAGAGTGAATAGTCCCACAATCAATTTCGTAAAATTTTTAATTTAAATATTTGAAATTTTTAAGATTTAATAGTTATAAATTTTATACACAATTAGATGACTTCATAAACAATGTGTCAATAATCATAAATGAAATATTTCATACCACACCAAAAGCTTGTTACATATGACATTCAATAAAAGTTGAAGTTAAAATTTTGATTGATCCAAATTGTTTCAATGAAAACTATTTTACAAATTTGGATCAACAAAAATACTTGTTTAAGCGAAGTTCTTGTTGAAACTTAATCAATGAAGGATTGCAATTATCAGCCATTAAATACAAGTTATGCCTATATACCAACTTTTGAAGTAATGTAATCCGATATCTAGGTCAAAGAGCCAACCAAATATGGGTTAGAATTGAACTCAGGTTAAGAAAAATCTAAACCCAATCGAATTCGCTCAAGATCAAATCGGAATATATATGTACATTGCTATAAATACTAACATAATCATGTACATTACTAAATACGGCGGAGATCTGTTAAGTAACCGCCGTGAAAGGAAGCCGACAGCTGAGCCGACCCAACCCTGGTTGCAAATCGGAATTCAACGCGTCCGAAATATCGTTAATCAAACATTCATGAATCCGCTTCTCTCTCGCCGCGCATAGTTCGCGACTCTCCATGCCCTTCGTTCTCCTCTCTACTCCGCTTCATGCTCTCCTCTGCTTATTAGTCTCATCTCTACGACTCTTTGCCTCTACCTCGATTGCCCCCATATTCTTCTACGCCGTTTGCTTAAATTCGCCCTAAACTTGAATGATCAGTAGAAAGCTTGCTTTGGAGTGTGAATCTTCCGGCACTTGCAAGATCTAAGATCTTACCTCTGCTGAGGAGATCTCTCCCGTTCGGATTTACGCTGCGGATGTACATATCTCTCTAACAGCTTCTTCTTGGCTGCCTGGGTGTTTTCCATGGATCATGGTCTTTCTGACAGCAGCGGTGAGTTTGTAAATCATACCTTAGACGGCATGGAAACCGTGTCTTCTGTTTGCTCGGGGTTTTCCAGAACTGGCATTTTGGTTTTGTTGCGAATTTTGATGCGCTTGCTGTTCCGGTGCTATAATTTGGGGGCCATCTACTTGGTATATTTGGCAGTCGAGAGGGAGGTAGCGAGTATCCTGATGATTGGGTTTAAGACTTTGAAACTTGTTCGTCCATTAGAGGACACTTTCTTTGTTTGTTCGCTAACCCTTTTTTTCACTTGGGGCTGAGATTAGGGCGTATTTAGGGTTTTAGGGGTTCAGCCATCGTGGCTGCCTCTTGCTAGATTAGAAAGGTAGGAGCTTTTTGTTGCCTATCTAGAGGTTCTATTGCGGAGCAAAGCTTAAAGGTGTCCTTTTGAAAGGGAACAAAATGAAGTTGTTGGCTTGTGGCCTTCAATACTATGCTGTAGCAGGGTTGACAATATCTCTGAAATTGCTTTTCTGTATATATCTTATTGATCTCATACTAGGTGAGCCGGTGTTTGGGTAAAATCGCTTTTTTAAAATACTTTTATTTATTAACCTTAAATTCTAGAAAATAAACTTAAGAAGTTGACAAACCTGACTTAATTTTGGATTGTTGTTATGAGACCAGTCTTCATCTATTTTATTAGCTTGCAGTGTGTTATTCTTGTTCATATTTCCATTTATATTGGTTTCCCCATCAAAGTGATTCATTGTCTAACTGTCAGTGATGTGTTCTATGAGTGGAAGCTGAGCCGCAACCATAAACAGGATGTTATTCAGAGCCATACTTAATCTTATAGCAAAACACAACTTTTCTAGTTCAATGAATTTCTTTTTTGCATATGTTTGAGTTCAAGCGATCTGTTTATCATCAAACGAACGACAACATTTAGTTAGTTAAGCTCTTCTGAGATGTCACGGGGAAGTTTTTTTTGCGATGAATATGGCAATTTTAAGCTCTAGAAACCAAAACCATTCTTTTAACCACTAAACGGTAGTCACTATTTAATCGTTCAAGTTTTTTTAAGATGCCACCATTAGGAGTTTCTTTTTGAATATGTCAGTTATGTGCTCCAACAAACTAAAGGAGATAATTTATCTGCTAAACTGCTGTTGTTATTTTGCTGTTTACGTTATTATTTGCTTTCACACTGTTTGGAATGTTCTTTGCATATGACAAATTTGTGCTTTAGCTAACAAAACCTGACGGATTTGAATTATTTTATCTCACGCTAGTCCACATTTAAATTCTTTTAAGATGCTAGATTGATGGATTTTTTCATGACATGTGTTTGCTTTAGAGACCAAGCCAGACTTTAGTTTGCATTAATATTTGACACTATTTGATTTTTTGTTTCGAGTTATTAGTAGTTTATGCTTGTGGATATTTGTTTTATTAACTTGCAAGTTCCTTATGTGCCATGCCAAGCTTAATTACTAAGTGGCTGCATGCATGTAAACCCCAAAGGTGAGAAAGAAAAGGCACATGGATTTGAGTCTGAGAATGCATCGGAAAATCATGGAAAAAGCTATCCCTATATGATTATGATTTAAAAAGTCAACAATATCAGCTCTCTTATACGAAAGCTATAACACAAAAGAAATAAATACGTAGAAATATAGCATTTTATGCTGCAAGTTTTATGTTATTCTAAAGGTGTGATGTACTAGTACATATATTTCCGCGTGAACTTGCATTTGGTCATGGACCCACCCACTAGCAGTAAGGGGAACACAGGACAAGAGTTCTAACCTAGAAATAATCTGCCATCTGTTATATAATTGATGATGACCAAGATAGATTTGATTTCATTTATATTTTTGAATTTTAAATTTATTAAGAGTTAGCGAAATTTTCATATTATCTCTTGTTTTTATGATGCTTATCTTCTGAGAAGCCTTTTGGATAATATGAACTTTTAATTGCCACTCCATTTTTTGAAATAATGAATTAAATGAAAATTTTAATTGGATTTTGTTTGGCTTTATTATTTTGTTGTCTTGATGATCCAATAATCCATTGTATTGAGGAATCAACATCAATATTTTGGGAATTCACTATTTTGGTATCTTTCCTTTTCTTTGTTCATTTTTTTTATTGATTTATGCAATTAGGCTCATACCCGGCTTTAATTTGTTATCAGAGCAAATTCATTCCTGTTTTTCTTCATTCTTGCTAATTTTGCTTTTGATTCAACAACTTCTTTTAGTTTAACTTATTTTCATTTATTTTTTTGCTTTATTCTCTTGCTTCATTTTCTCTCTCCACTCAAGTGTTCTCTTTATCTTCCTTAAATGCAACTCTCTCTCTCCACCCAAAATCCATTCTTCCTCTTACTAGGAAAAGAGAAAAGCCAGTATTTCTATTACCATAATTTCTTTTTCCACACGTTTATTTTTTTATTCTTGCCAGTATGAATCGTAAATCGTATATATATTTTTCTTCTCCATTCACTTCTACTATCTCACCTTATCAAAATAATAAAATTTTTTAAAAATTACGAACTACTTTACACCCATGATCACTCTCCTCTCTCAGCTATTTAGACTTTATCCTCTAAATTCCTCCAACAATTTAGATATCTCGACACTCCCTTCAAAATTTGAGTATTAATATTTAAAATCAGTTTTCATTTAAATCCTAAAATTCTTTAGGGGTTGTGTGGTAGTGAGATTTATGAAGGATTTAGGTTAATTCTAGACAAATGGTCAAAATTGACAAATAAATCTCCAAAAACCTTAAATCCCATTTTGACCTTGTTTTGTTGTAATTCCTGGATTTTTTAAATTTTGGTATTCGGCCTTATTCAAGTGATTTAGTAGACAAAAATGTGCGAAGGGGAAGGAAGGGGAAAGAATACTTGCGTCATCGATGCCTTTACTTTCTGGCATCCATTGCAACTCCTCGTGTCCTCATTGCGACCTCTCACTTTTTTTTCCTCGGGGATCTCGGGTGCGGTTGGAAGGGGAGAAAGACGGGGCTTTTGAATTATGGGTTTCAGGCAGGAGGGAATTAATTACAATATTTAATAAATACTAATAATTTAAACAAATTATGTTCATTAAATTATTTTTTACTTATAATTTCATTTGGTAAACTAAAAAAATTATTATTTCTTAATTTATAATATGTTTAATAATGTTTTTATAAGATATTATCTTATAGAAGTTGGTTTTAATTTAATTTATATAACTTGATTCTTTTTAATTAATTTAATTTATATTATTTATTAATAATTAATTAATATGTATCTTTGTTAATTATGATTTAATTACAATTGATATAGATTTAATAATTAACTAATTAATGAAAATTAAAGTATCTATTAATGTTTAGTTAGTTTATGACATTCTTATTAATGGTTTATTATGCTGAATCGTGTTCCATCCTTGGATTCTCACCTTAATGGAGGAGCTATAGAGGATGTGAAAAATATGGTGAAGAGAGGGGATTGCTGTGTTTATTTATAGGAAATTGGGTTACACCATTTTTTAGATCAAATACTGCTTTCTCATTACATGAGTTTTTTCTTTTATATAAGGAAGTTTTTCTTATATAATATACACATGTGATTATTACATTCAGATCCCTCGGGATCTTTGGCTTGTCTTTTTTCTTTTGACATTGGAAGATGTGTTGCATTTCACCTTCTATTATCTGTGCACTCATCGGGTCTTATCCAAGTCAGTTCGACCTTGTTGAGCATTCCTACCAAGACAAATTTGGTCTCAAAGCAAGTTGAATCTTTTTGGGTTGGATATAACTGATATTATAAAATGATTATGGGTTTCTTTGTCAAACAAACTCCTTGAACTTTATCGACGAAGGGGAACATTTATCTGGAGATTTTTACTCGGTAGCTCGTACTTGACAAATTGTACTCAACAGCTTTGCGATCTTGGCTTAGTGAATTGGCCTGAATAACTTGAATAGTTTGTCTTGGCGCATCATAAACTTGGCATGATTGTATTTTGGCCATATATATTAGATCTATAAATAATTACTTAAATTGTAATAATGAATATTATCCTAGCTAAAAATTGCATCCTTTATTTTTATTTTAGTGAAATTCTTTGTGATAGTTAATAAGATTAATAAATAACTAATTAATTATTTAGGTAATTTGAAATAATAGAAACAAGTCAAATTAAATTAGTTTTAATAATTTTGCATCACTAATTATTATTAAAATCTTATTTGAGCTAATAGAGTAAATCCTGAAATAAGTAAACAAACAATTCATTCATATTTAATCAAATTTAACTCATGTCATTCCGAACAATTTAATTGCCCATCTCCTATGCAATAAAATTAAGGAAGATATATTTTCTTTTCTTTTGGTTTCGATGCCCTTCGATAGTTTTATCTTAAAAAGGAAGATTAAGAAAAGAAAAAAAATCGTCAAAAATAACAAGGAAATTTGAATATAAGAGAGCTTTCTGCTTTCTTTGCGGTTACCAATAATTCTTTGATAATCTGAGCCTATTTCTAGGGGTGTAAATAAGCCGAAGTGGCTCTGTAAAAAATATCACTATTTGTGTTCGACTCGTTTATATTTCAAATACAAAAAAATGTGTTCCTATTCGACTCGTTTGCTAACGAAGAGTCGTTTTCACAAACCTAGTAACACAGCCGTAGGATGTTAATGATTAGTGCGAGATTTAAATCTTATTAGTTATATTAAAACATCATTTAAATATAATTTAATATATTTTTATTAATAATTTTACTTGATTATAAATCTATAGTCTTGTAGTTTATCTACATATGTACATATATTGTACACACACACACACACATATATATATATATAT